GTGGATTTCTAATTTACACAGAAAACAAAATATCCCATTAAACGGACTTCATACATATAGGGCAGGACAGAAACTAGCCAATTCTAGTTACATGTATAATTTGGTGTCTTCAGAAAAATGTTGCCTAATACAACTTACTAGAACGGCTTTGACAAAATAAATTTCAAATATCAAGTAGACTATCAATACAGGATTTTGGAGATTGTTGTTTAAATTGATATCAGTCAGTCAGTAACAACGTAGAACTTCGTACGTACGTACATCAGTTCGAGTTGCCACACCACATTAGCACAGAGATGCACTTGTCGATTCAAATCCCGTAGTGGTAGAGGTAATAAGAGTATAAGCAGTAATCGGGAAGATTAGGGTTTGGAGATGTTATTTAGAGAGTATAATCCAGTGAAAGAAATTTGGAAAGAGGAAAAAAGGGACATGAAGAATTCAGAAGATTAGAATTTGGGAGAACACAGAGAGTGGATGCACCTGCGCCATTGCAGACAATTTTGAGCCATGTCATTCAGGATCTCTAATCATCGGTTGCTGTCATCTCGCGGTCCCCAACCAGGTAGTCTACACCTACCAACATGACTCAGTTTACTTGTCAGTGACTTCATGGACTTGTGCCATGTTTTGGTTTGGCCGCCCCTAGCTTTCTTCCAACCTACTCTTATACCACTGAACATAGCACGTCGAGGCAGTCGGTCGTTGGGCATACGTAACACGTGTCCCAGCCATCTCAACTGATGAAGTTTCACTACTTCATCAATTGATTCGCCATTCTTACCTAGTACCCGTTTCCTAACATCTGTGTTACTTACTCGATGGTCCCATGATATACGAGCAATGTTTCGAAGACACCTATGATCAAATACTAGTAACCTACGGATATCCTCTACTCTTACCGGCCATGTTTCACTGCCATAAAGTAGGACGGAACGAACTGCTGCGCAGTAAACACGTCCTTTGGTTGATAGACGGATATCTCGCCTACGCCATAAATGACGCAAGTTGGCAAAAGCTAGTCGAGCCTTCTGTATCCGTGCTGAGATTTCGTCACACACTAAACCACATGGGCTGATGAGGCTCCCAAGATAAGTGAAGCGGTCGACACACTCAACTACTTTACTCCCTATCACTAGTTCGGGTGTCGATGTAACCCAATCCTGAAGCAACATTTTGCATTTCGAGGGAGAGAATCGCATCCCGAACATGCTTGCATTGTTGCTTAGAGTGGTCAGAAGACTCTGCATTTTGTCAGCGTCTCCACCAAATAAAACTATGTCATCAGCATATTCTAAGTCAACAAGTGAATCCCATAGTAGAATTTCAAACCCTGTATATTTAGATGAGGAGAGTGTTATCTCTAAAAGTACGTCAATGACAAAGTTGAACAAGAATGGGGAGAGTGGACAGCCCTGACGAACACCACTTGAGGTGATCAATTCTGATGACAGTTCGCCATAAGCTCTCACTCTACCCGTTGTGTTCGAGTAGAGAGCATTTATAAGGTTAGTGTACTTCTTTGGTACTCCCTTCAGTGACAAACACTGCCATAGAACCTCACGATCAATAGAGTCGAATGCCGCCTTAAGGTCGAGAAATACTACCATTGTGGGGCGTCTGAATGTGTGTCTGTGTTCTAGAACCTGACGTAGTGTGAATATCTGATCTATACAACCACGTCCAGGTCGAAAACCAGCCTGGTTTTCTCTAATCTGCTCTTCACGAGCTTTAGTTAGGCGTCGAAGTATTATTGAGGCTAATATTTTAGACACTATATTAGTCAAACTGATTCCTCTGTGATTGTCACAAGAGGACTTTTGTCCTTTCTTATAGACTGGCACAATCAGTGATTGAGACCAGTCAGATGGGATTACGTCCAGTTCCCAAATTCTACCTAAGACCTCGGTTAATCTCATTGCTAATACTGGACCACCATCCTTAAAAATCTCAGGAGTAAACCTGTCAGGGCCTGCTGCTCTCCCTCGTTTCAGATTTCCTATGGCTTTTTCAACTTCGTAAAGGGACGGAGGACCTACATTAACTTGCCATTCAGGTTGACTAGAGATCGTGGGAAACCGAAGTGTGGCTGAAGGCCAGTTGGACTGATTCCTAAAGTGTTCTGCCCATCGATCCAATCTCCTGGATTGAGAATGAATAATATGTCCATCTTTCTCTGAGATTGTTTCGCTAACGGTCGGGTTCCTAATTCCGGTTTCCTTAACGAGTCTAAACAATTGTCTGCTATTACCTATTGCCGCTGCCTTTTCCATCTCTCTTGCTTTCGCTACCCACCACTGTTCACGATCATTGCGTAGACATCTTGTCAGCTTGCGCTTAAGCTGACTCCGCTCTTCATTATGTTCAGAGCCAGGTGGAATGTGTTTCCGAGCATTTATCAGTGAGATAGATGCTGCTGAGATCCAGTGTTGCTCCCTAACCTTCTGGTTTACCCTACTAGCAGATATCACTGCTGTTTCCACAGCTTTTCGGATATCATTCCATGCTGCATCGGGGTGGGCATCACATACATGGCTGCCTAACTGTTTTCCTAGTTGTTCCTGAAATATACTCTTAGCTTGACTATCATTAAGTAGGGCCCTAAGAGGTTTCCTCGCAGGATCTTTCCTACGTCCAGTAAGACGCAAGCAAATACGCGCTCGCACTAGAGCATGATCTGAATCTAGGCATGTGCTCCAGAATGAGCGACAGTCTTCTATCGAGCCCCTCCATCGGTGGCTGATAGCGATGTGATGTATTTGGGTCCAACGTTGGGACGAATTAGGGGGTCGCCATGTTAAAAGATGTTTTTCCTTATGCTTAAAGTTAGTATTTGCAAGGAACAGGCGGTTATCTCAGCATAGCTGCAACAGACGGTCGCCATTATCTGTTCTTTGAGCCACGACACCATAAGATCCACCTAGGTGTCTTTCCTTATCGCTTAGGTTACCTACTTGAGCATTAAAGTCACCGGCCACTATTACTACATCCGAGCGCTTAGCTTTTCGGAGAAGGTCCGAAAGCTTTCTGTAAAACTCATCTTTTACATCATCTGAGCTGCAGTCAGTGGGAGAATAGGCTGAGACGACGAAGAGGCAACGACGAGTGTCCCTATCTTTCCGGATTCTTACTGTTCCGTTCAGTCGGACAGCGCACAAACGACTGTTTACTGGGATCCACTCTAAGAGAGCTAGTTCTGCCCTAGGACTCAATGCTATACCTACGCCGGCGAGGCCACGGGAAGCAGAATCAGGGCTTCCAGATACATGAAGCGTAAATCGAGTCGGTTCTTTATTTTGGCATGGTGAGGTCAAATGAATGACGCTACTTGGATCCTGTATGCGCGTTTCGGAGACGCAGCACACATCGATGGCGCGAGATTCTAAAGTTTTAGCTAAGGAAGCCTGCTGTCCTATTTGGCAAAGTGTTCGTACGTTAAAAGCTCCTACGTGTAGTTTAGAGCGTGGTTTCAGGAGACCAGGAATGGCGTTCCACGTACTCGAATCGTTTGCCCTAGCGGTGCGAGGTGATAAAGAGACGTGAGGAGGGTTAGTCGGGAGGATAAGAGAGGTATTAGGAGGTGTAGGAAGGATTTGAATGTGACCACCTTGGTCTCTTGTGCTGTTACGGGTATGAGGGCTGATGTCACTTCCCGGCTGCCCACACCGTGGAAGGGTATTTCTTGATGAACCTGAAAAGGAAATTGGATTAGTGTTGGTCTTGACGACCTGGGAGCGTGACCGCAGAGCCCAAGGGGCAACTGCTTGAGGCCGGTCGCGCACGGCCTTTTTGTGGAAGGTTTTTGACGTGTTAGCTCCGTTCTTCAAGGGGCCTTACCGCCGGAGACGGAAATCCGTGAGGTAAGGTGAGGTGTGCATTTTTAGGGTCGACCTTTTCTAACCCCACCCCTCCTTGTGGGAAGGCAGAATCGCTGTCATGCTGGTTGTCCGAGGGAAACACCCTACTGCTGTCACACCTCTGTACAGTCAGCAGTACGACTTCGCCCTCAGACCGTGAGTTGCTGCTTTTAGTCTTACCGTTCTCCAGTCGACCTGCCTGGCATGGTAGAACCTACAGGAACATATGTTCCAGCCAATATAGCTCGGTTGGGTCATCACGATAGGCAAGCCCGACCACCGCGTCAAGGTAGCAGCTTCGATCGGGTTAAATTGATATCATAAATAGACCGATCTTAGACCACCATTCGAGATGAATTTCCTGGAGTTCTAGTGAGAAGCCGTGGCTAATGGAGTTCAACCGTGACTTTTGTGTAGCATTTACTCACTGAAGACAATGGTGGACGGTCGCGCAGTATCGCAAATCGATCGACGTTATACATAAACGCCATTGAATGCCGGTTCAGTGGTCTAGAGTTTAAGCGTTCGCGCGCGAGTCCGAAGGTCCTGGTTCTGATCACGCGTGTGGGATCGTGGATGCGCACTGCTGAGGAGCCCCATACTAGAACGAAACGGCCGTCCAGTGCTTCCAGGTTTTCAATGGTGGTCTAACATTTATCCATTCATAATATGAATTTGACCTAATGTCAAGTAGACATCGAGTTTATACTTGAAGAAAACATCGGAAATCCTTGTGAATTTTGTAAAAATATTTGTTTACTTTACGGAAATGGTCATGAATTCAAAAGCGTACATACATAATCAGGAATATTATCGTACAACCGGTTCTAAATTAAATTATCTAAATTACCAACATAACGAAGAACTAAGCAGCTGAGTTCAATATATGTCTGAGAATGCTTCAACTTTCTAACACCATGGATAGACCCAAATTATCGTGCTTTCAAACAGCGTGTATTCATGAATATTTATTCTTAGTAAGTTCCATAGACTTCTTACGAAGCTACTATAATATTATATATTCAATGCGACCCAAGCCAGCTGCCGTTTGCTAAAGATACCTTTTTTTGTTTTACATTCCAATTAATAAAATCAACTAGGGAATTTTATTTTTAGTATGAACAGATTACAGAAATAATCCAACTACAAGCAATAAGTGGTTTTCGATTGTGTTGTTCGGATTTGTCCAGTGACAGCAACTACCATCAAAAATTCCTGAAAAAAAGAACAGAGAAGTGTGTATACTAATGCACTATACATAATATAATCATTAAAGGCAATTAGTCCCGTATCTACCATAAACCAGAAAGGTAGAGTACTGTGTTTTTACTATTATCTGAGGAATTCGAAAAGGATGGTAAAATTGTTCCTATGCGAAAATGTAGTGAATAGTTTAGTCACTTTAAAGTTTTGCAAAATTATTTACCGACTGGGATGACTGATTGTTGTCATGTGGATAATTTGGGAAAGATGTGCACTTTCCTATACAGCTCAATCAGTAACGATATGCACGACTGTGATTTTCTGTTTTCGTCAACCTTAGCTTACCTTCCAACTAAATATTTTGAACTAGCTATGTAAGTTGCTGTGGACGACTTACTGAATTACGTTATCTACTCGAAAACATCTAATACGATTCAGATAAAGATATCAAATGAAGTACTAAATAGAAATCTATATAGAAAAATTTACTTTCTATTAGTCTGAAACAAACAAGAAATTGTAGACTTTAATGCAGTAGTAGTTAGTGTTTGTGACAGGGGAGAAAAAATATTCCTATTTGAGGCCACAGAGTCACTAAGTAAATGCTATCAATCACATTAAAACCTTTATATTTGCAGTTTATCGCGAAAAGCTCTGGGGTTAAGTGTTTAAAACGCATTAGGTAGGTTTTGGTTACCATTCAGCACTAATAAACTGTTACTGATTATTAAGTCATTACGTACGTTCAAAAAAGAACACTTAAATCTAATAGCTTACTGTCAACTAATTTATTACTGCTAGTCTAATGTTCATATAGTAAGTTATGTGGCATCCTCGTTACTACAGCCACACCTTGCTGTCTAGTGTCAGACAGCATGAAACCGAGAAAAGATGCATAACCATGAATTTGTAGCGCGTCTATTTATCAATGTTCGATTTGTGGGGGTTATTGAGCATTTCCGAGAATTTTTAACCCACATAGTGAGCAAGTGATGTATAAAAAAGCACGATTTTCACTCAAGACAATATTTCAAGCTCTAATTCTCACTTTATTTGATTTTCCTATCTGTCAGTTTAAGATGCGCTGCCGTGGCGTGTCCATAGAAGACATTTGTAGATAGCTATGGACTATTGAAATGGAATCTCTAGTGAAAATCATGCCTTTATATGCAGCATTCAAAAACTAAATGAACAGATAAATGCCAACCAATTCACGAAACTGATAATGTTGAGTCGAAATAAAGAACGATAGCTTTACAGTATACCAGTAGATATTTTCAATGATTGAGTAAAATCAATCCATTAAAGTAATGTGTATATTCGCAAAGTAATAATTAGATAAGAGTAACTTGCGGTTAATTTTGTATTATTGAACAGTTTGGAACATTTATAGGAATAGTTCAATAATATTCAATTTCAAACATATAACAAACTATTTTGATGGAGTTTTGTTCTCTGAGCTGGATAGTTTGGTAATCGAGCTTTCATCGTTCTTCTGAACGATATCATCAGCACAAACTTCAGTGCTTAATTATCATGTAAAGTTAAAAACGCTAATTAATTGCGTTGAAGTTATGGATTCAGGATAATATTAACAATAAAAAAACTAAGGAGAATGAACAACGAGAATCGAAACAGTAGTCTAGTAAACCTGTTTTGGAATACAACTTATCTGCCCTGGTATGGTCGAGAGCGGGGTGGGTTCGCCCCCCGAAATACTCTCACACGGCCACGCGTATACAGCCTCTGCCAGGGAAGTCCTATTCACTGCTTTCTCGTGGCGGGGGTGTTGTTTACGGAAAGCGAATGTCCGGCGCTTTAACCGGATCCCAAATCAATGGTGTACATGGGCTCCAATATCCTGTGAGAACAAATGGCGTATAAGCCAATCGTTGGTCACCGGCTACCATGGGACTGCATCTCCTTACGATGCTCCACTGACTTGTGGATCAGACCTTTAGGTCAAAGGCTCGGGGTGTGGCCCCCTAAGATAACCACCTGCTTCGATCTGGGCACCCGGGCAGTATCTCAGGCCGCACACAAAAATGTGTGGCGCATATATATTTGGTGCCATCTTGTACCAATATTTATGTGTCCAAATAAATAAATAAAAATAGAAAAAAAATTGAGACAATTTAAAAATTACTCTGATTCTTAAAATTAATTAATATGCATATATACAAAGTGGTAATTAATATCAGAAAGGGTTTTGTGGATGTTATAGTAATTTCAATAGTTGAGATCATGAGTCAATTGAAGCTAAACCACCATCGAAAACCTGGAAGCATTGGATGGACGGTTCATACTATTGTGGGACTCCAGCCTGCGCATTCACGATCCCGCCTCGCGCGCGACCTTTTAACCACTGAGCCAACATCCGACGGTGTTAATTCCTGACTTCAGCTTATCCATGAAATTGAGCGACACATCCACCATTGTCATCAATGAGTTACCATCTCACAACAAACCCGGTTGAGCTTCATTGGTCACGGCTTCTCACTAGAACTCCAAGAAATACCTCTTGAAGCAAGTCACTAGTGAGCATATGTTCATTAATATTAGAAAGGGAGTCCCACAGTAGGACGAAAAGGCCATCCAGTTCTTCCAGGTTTTTTATGGTTATCTAGCTTCAATGGACTCATGATCTCAAATATTAAAATGGTAATTCATAAAATAATGACATTGAAATTAACTAACCTTCAATAATTTACTAGACTGAACAGTACTCATTCCAGTTCCACGAATATCTGTGATAATATTATTTAATAAATATGATATTGCAGAATTACGACAAACAGAAGATGATTCCTTGTTATTTTGTTTACAATATGCATCAGTTGAATATAATAAATAAATTAATTCTAATGTACCAGCTAATGGTACTATAATTCTTTGTCGTTCATTGGTATAATCTTTAAGCTAAACTTCCTGTAGATCCCCCCAAAAAAACAATTAAAATGAATGGAGAATGTTTACACTGCATAAAATATACAGTTTATAAAGATTATAAATTGAAAATGGTAAAAACAGCAGTTTCTTTATATGAACAACATGCTTGTGAAATTATCTTTGTACAAATGAATTTATTAATTAAAAGTACAGTATAAATAAACCATACATTGATCTAACATCATATGAAAACGTTTGAAACAAGTACGACATTTTTTTAATCGGTTACGTTTTACTATACAGTAAATTAATTAAGATTGACGTAGTGATGTCAGAGTCACAGTGTATATAAAGAAATAATACTCTGACTATCAACTGCATTATGAATCATGTCAGTTAGTGAAATATAACAAATTATTTTTCAACAAGTTGGAGAGGGCTCAGCTACTTTTGTGGATACGAACCAAAGGTAAAGAGTGCAAAGAAATATGAGGTGAAGTAACGTTTAATTGTAATGTGTGTCAGGGAAATAAATCAAAATTAGATATTATTCTTTTTTACAGTGTATATATCCTTATATCTTTCAATGCATTAACCAACAAAAAAATTGACTGCATATTTAGGCGTTTAATAATAATTGATCACTTTACTGCCATATAATATCGTGGATTGTTTATAGAATAGTTAAATAGACTCATTTGAATTCAAACGCACGAATACTGTAATATTCTAGCGGAGATTAAAATTTTGGGTAACTACTGAGAACTATTTATAAACTAATATTACATATATATTCTAATTGTATAACTATTGAGTAACTAGGTTATGCTTATTTATGTTTTCTCTTATTATAAGCTTCATTTTGACCTATAGACCATTATTATCCGATTTATTATTTTTAAGTTATACTCAGTTTATTAATCGCAGTCTCTCAGATTCACAGCCACTTTTTAGCCTGATCCCGTATAATTTTTATTTTGTACTTTATGGTATAATGTGGACTGGTTCGCTTGTTAAATAAACCCAGTATGTTTGGAATATACGATTCGTATAGTGGAAGCTGATATTGGTGTTCTGGACTCAATAGGCAGGAAAAAGGGACCATATAAAGACACTGGGCTGTTCATATCGGTCAATACGTCATTGGTTCGGCAGAGTGCTAATATTGTATAAGTCGTATTCTGACTGGCCAATAAGTCAAGTGATAATTAACTGGCTAAAAGTCACAACAAATACTTTATTGTTATGTAAGTGAAGTTCAATGGTGTTCGATTGAGGTTTCAGATAAGTGCATAAATAGACATGACTTGTAATGTATATAATTCACACTTTACCCATAGCTGCTCCATGTTTTTAGGAAACAGGAAGTAGTTACTTGGTTAGGGTTATAGTGCTAAGCGAATACGATAAACTTGATGAAATAGGATGAATTCCTAACTAGGTCAATCGAACACCAAAAAATTTATACCTTTCCAGTTAATCAGTTTGACGTAAACGTGTCAATACGAAATCAGTACAAATGTGAAATAGATGATTTTGTTTTGTGCATCAAATAAAAGAAAAAGTATTAGTGATAATAGTTGTGCAAATTGTTTCTTACCAATATTAGCTCCACGCAAAACAGCTTCTTCTAAATGCCTAACCAATGAAACAAAATCACCGAAACCAAGGTTAACACCTTGACCAGCAAGTGGTAGTATTCGATTAGCAGAATCACTATATTAATGGTATGTTTTTAAGAAAAAACATTTAAAAGAGGTACAACTAACAATTAACAAATAAATTCAAAAATATCTTGAAATATTTTTGATAAATAGTATTTCAATCTAAAAAAGTCTTCAAATAGTGCACACGATAGACTATAGTTTTATTTGGAATAATCTCAACAAAATATCTTATAACAGCCAACCAAAGTTAAAGGTTTAATAAAACTCATTCAGTATAACCTAGTAAACAGTTAAACTGCCAGTTACTAGGGTTTGAACTACTGAACTGTAATTATATGAATATGTAAATTAAAAGGAGAGCGAGGTAGGGGAGTGATCAAACAGGTTACCCGATAATTGATATTCCAGTTTGAAACATTATCTTGCCTCTGATTTAATGTGATAATCACTTTGATTTTAGATGACTTCACAACCCCCTTCCTCACATAAACTTGCAAATCTAACAAAAATAGGAAGGATAGGTGGCAGTTTCGAGAATCAATTACTATAAGGTGATGTAGGCGAAAAAGCAAGAGAAATAGGATTGTGCGGATGGTTGAAATAGACTCAAAGTTTTTCTTAATTATTTGCAATTTTTCATAATTTTTTGTTGTAACGGGTGACTGCAGATTATGATAAGCAGCGTTTATATCGATCAATTACAGTGACAGCATAAAAACACGTAATGGACGACCTACAGTTTTGATTGGTCCCACTCCCCTGTCTAGCCCAGCCAGTTGAGTCCAGAACACAAGTCACAGCCTCTGAGTTATGAATCATTGTATTTCAGACATACTCTATTTATATACTAACCAAACAAACCACATCGTACCATAAAATAGAAAACAACATTTACACAATATTTAACAAGTGAAATAAACATCGACCAATAGGAAATGTACATTTAACGTTCAAGGACACCATTCGACTTAACACGATAATTATTGGCATATTCCTCTGCATACCTAACATTTTTATATTCAATGTATACAAATATTATAATGAGTGAAGAATTTCGTTTAAGCTGACTTCCTTTACTCCTGTTCACTTTTTGTGTCTTATTGATAAACGATCGCTAAGTATACGTATTCGTACACACACTTCGTCTTGACTTTGTTGGCTGATGTTTTCTAATTGTTTACTAACAATCCTGTTGAATACGCTTTAGCTAACACCATACAGCATATTCTCTGTCGATTACGCACAAACACTTCGGATCTATATCTGACTTTCCTTGGAATTATTTGCCCTATAGCGTTATGATTATATATATATATATATATATATATATATATATATATATATATATTTGTTTCTGTGTTATATAAACTTACTCTCTTGATACGCTTATGGAGTAATAATTAAGTTAAGGTATTTTCATATTTTTATTGGTCCGCCATAGGGTATATCAAAATTAACCGTTTACGAATATCTATCTACTATTTAATATATATGCTTTCCAATAAAAGAAGCGAGTGTTTTTTTATATATGAGTACCTTAATAACCATCTGATTAATTAGTGAATCAAGATAATTTAGCCAATTAATTGTAAGTAATAATAATGATAATAATAACTTGTTTAGCTGAGAAACTTTAAGAAACAACACACAGGGATATTGTCGACAGATATCGTCTATGAGTCATTTCAAAAAGTACACTTTTTATGAGATTACAATATAAAGCAGATATTTAAGGTGAAACATTGACCTAATAGACTAATCATTCAATATGCATCACACATTACCCCTAGCATAAATGACGAATTTCTTTAACCGTTTTTAAGGGCAAAAAAATTTAAAAATCTATTAAAATTAGTGTTTTCAGAATAACTATTTGATGTAACGTTGTATAGGTAAAGGGTAACTCAAATTCATCTTGAAAGTAGAAAAACATATTGAAGTGGATTCCAACTTTGCTTTCGTTATAACACACAACGAGTAAACCTCCTTTTTAACTTCAAAACATTCTCATAAAACGTTGTGAACACGATCATGAAATGAGACTTGGAACTTGAGTAACCTAAATATATGTAGCATTTCGAAACTACAATAGTCTAACTAATCTCAATTTCCTGCAATATTCCGTTGTCATTGCACACGCACTGAAGATCATATAGTATAATTGTTCTTGCTACTCAGGATGTGTATACCATCTCATAGATTACTGACTCACTTAGAAACGAACATAATAGATAACAATTGATTGATAAGTAGTGTTAAAAACTACTCCATCAAACTAATAGTATTTTACAGTTTACTCTCCAAGACTGCAAGGCGGTGTGTTTTATTGCCGGTAGGGTCATAGGTGCCCACTGTTGAGAAATCCCATACTAAGGCGAAATGGCTATCCACTGCTTTTAGGTTTCCAGTGGTTATCTAACTAAGGTCAATGACTATGATGCAAGCAGTAAAATTCACTGATATTATTGTTTAAATAGGTATTTAAATGATTAGCATACCCCACTAGTGCCACACGAGGAGCTGAATAAAATGTGGCATGTTGAAAACCTAGAGGGAAACAAGCCCTTTTCGTATTTGGTTGAATCGATAATACTGTTGGTGTTGAAAATGAGCTGGATTCACTTTCATTGTCTGTAGATTTTATTTGATTACCAAAGTAATCAACAACACTAGCAAAACATTGTCCCATCTTATTGAAAAGTGCACCAATTTGTGACGTCGATTCATTAGGTTTAGTCTAACAAATGAAGAAAAGAATACATATTTCTCGAAAGAAAAAAATATCGGGAAGAAGTGGGATATAATTCAGCAAAGATAAACAAATATGAGGGAATTATTGAATATTACAATAGTTAAAGACCGTAACATTAGCATAGTGGCTTTAATATATCAAATTGAATGAAATGTTCCAAAACACAGAGATTTTAATATCGGACCTTCAAAAAAGTAAGGTTCCACAAATAATTAGTTGTTTGGAGAATTGTATGAGGTTTAATTAATTTTACGTGAGCTTATTACAAAGAAATTTCCCATTTACTCATTAAATAGTAAGTACATATAAAAGCATGAATCAAAGAATTTCAACACAACTTACCAAACAGTCATTCAACTCTTGAATAAAATCTAAATCTTTTAAATTCATAAGACGATCAGCTTCATACGAAGTTGTACTCCAAACTAATGATGAATATTCTTTTGACAACTTTTAGATAAATGAGAGAGAAAAAGAGTATAATTGGAGTATCTTGTTACTATTTCGTATAACTTCAAAATTAATCATACATTCATCTAACATTCAAAGAAATTTTAATAATTAGACTAAAAATTAATTCATAAAGACGATAATTATCTACAATTATTATCAATATTGTGAAAAGAAAAAAAAATGTTTGATCAATGATTTCGTAACAATGAAGATAAATATATCATACGCTAGAAAATTCATTAGAGAAATAAACAGACAGATAAATCTAAACGTACAACGTTACAATAAATACGTTTATAATAAATTATGGGTATATATATTTATTAATCATTAACAATAACTTATCTCTACAACTGGTGTTCAGGCTTCTGAATAATCTCGAGTAAATCTGTAATTCTACTAGGAGATTAAGCCTACCTAAAATACTCAGTTTACGGGATATTATTTATTGGAGTCAGATATTGAAGCCAGACATACTATGACGAAATGGTCGTCCAGGTTTTAAATGGTGATCTAACTTTGATTGGTAAATTCAGTTGATTTGTTAAATAATAAATACTATGTTAACAGGTTGAAATCATGAGTCAGTTGAAGCTAGACCACCATTGAAAACCTGGAAGCACTGGACGGCCGTTTCGTCCTGGTATGGGACTCCTCAGCAGTGCGCATCCACGATCCCGCACCACGCGGGGCTCGAACCCAGGACCTACTGGCTTCGCGCGCGAGCACTTAACCACTAGACCACTGAGCCGGCATCCAACGGTGTTAATGTCTCGCGCGCGAAGCCAGTAGGTCCTGGGTTCGAGCCCCGCGTGGTGCGGGATCGTGGATGCGCACTGCTGAGGAGTCCCATACCAGGACGAAACGGCCGTCCAGTGCTTCCAGGTTTTCAATGGTGGTCTAGCTTCAACTGACTCATGATTTCAACCTGTGAAATTTCTAAAATTCTCCACAAAACCCATTCTGATAATAATAATCAACTGCTCACTAGTGACTGACTTCAGGAAAAACTCCTAAAGTTCTAGTGAGAAGCCGTTACCAGTGGAGTTCAACCGGTCTGTTGTGAGATAACAACTCACTGAAGACAATGGTGTACGGTGGCGCAACTTCGTGGATTGGTTGAAGTTAGACATTAACACCGTTGGATGCCGGCTCAGTGGTCTAGTGGTTAAGTGCTCGCGCGCGAAGCCAGTAGGTCCTGGGTTCGAGCCCCGCGTGGTGCGGGATCGTGGATGCGCACTGCTGAGGAGTCCCATACCAGGACGAAACGGCCGTCCAGTGCTTCCAGGTTTTCAATGGTGGTCTAGCTTCAACTGACTCATGATTTCAACCTGTGAAATTTCTAAAATTCTCCACAAAACCCATTCTGATAATAATAATCAACTGCTCACTAGTGACTGACTTCAGGAAAAACTCCTGAAGTTCTAGTGAGAAGCCGTTACCAGTGGAGTTCAACCGGTCTGTTGTGAGATAACAACTCACTGAAGACAATGGTGTACGGTGGCGCAACTTCGTGGATTGGTTGAAGTTAGACATTAACACCGTTGGATGCCGGCTCAGTGGTCTAGTGGTTAAGTGCTCGCGCGCGAAGCCAGTAGGTCCTGGGTTCGAGCCCCGCGTGGTGCGGGATCGTGGATGCGCACTGCTGAGGAGTCCCATACCAGGACGAAACGGCCGTCCAGTGCTTCCAGGTTTTCAATGGTGGTCTAGCTTCAACTGACTCATGATTTCAACCTGTGAAATTTCTAAAATTCTCCACAAAACCCATTCTGATACTATGTTAACACTTCAAAGTTGTTTAAAGGAATTGAGAAAGTAGATGAGATCTGATTTCTGACATTTTGCAATAATATGACTGTTATCGAAAATTCCATAAACTGATTGTATCAACTCATTAAAATCTATTCAGCAGTTTTGCAATGATTTAGTTATTATGACATTTATTATTTATTTAAAATTTAATTAAATAATAAAATCCAAGAGTAAAAATTAGTGTAATTCGAAATGAGAAATCGATTTGTCACTTTTTCACATACACACACACACAAATAAATAGTGACCACTTTTTAAACATGAAGGTTTCTTATAAAAGAAAAAAAAGAAAACAAAACCATCAACCCTTGATGTGAAACAGATTAATTGATTTTGACAGAAAAAAAATTGACAACAGCGAAGACACTTTCATTGTACCTTAATAAACATATGCGTACTGCATATGTTCCACTTACAATATCATACATATTCTCAGTTTTTTTATTGCAAATCACTACTACTCTTACCACGTACTCATTTGCATTTCTAAAATACCTTTATTTGTCTTCGAGTATACACACAATTGTCATACATATTTTAAAATCTAATTTGTAATTATGAGAGTAAACATTCGAAAATTACTTAATTGATTATATTCTTATAACATTTGAAGGTTACTCTGTTTTTTTATATAGACTAGTCTATCGAACTGAAAGATATATATGATGATACTACTTATAATGCAAAATCTATTCAATATCGATATGGTTTATACATGAAGACTGTGTACTCTTAACAACCAAGACTAAACTGATAGACAAAAAAAGACAGTGTCCTTTCTTTGATTATAGCTTATTTAGATAAACACTAGAACAGAATAGATCAACTATCCTTCCATACAGAAATAATAAGTTAACTGATTCATTCTAATATATAAACCGATTTGCATAGGTATATATATATATATATATATATATATATAATTCATATCCAGAGTCGGTTATTTCATAGACTAGTATTGTGCCGTGGTGTGAATTATCTTGAAAAATTTCTAAACTAATCCTGTGTATACAAGAATGGTATACCGAAGGAGCCATAGTATACATATAATAAACATGGGTCCACTCTACATGAGACACACACTGAGGATACCTATGACTGAGTGTGATTTTCAGAGACTAGGTCCTCAAGCCATTAGGATCACAAAATGGAATACTGTGCAATACTGCCAACGACCAGCAACCATCATGACAAGTTTTTTCCGAGCTACCTACTAAAACATCGAATGGTCACCGCACCTTAACTGAAAATTTAGTGATATAATAATTGAATGTTAATTGTCCTTCAATCAGTTACGATGTTTGTAAATATAACTACATTTGTAAAATTCTCTTGACTTGATAATATTACAGTTATTCATAAGCAATGTAAAGACTGGGATTATTTTTTTCAGCACAAGTTACCACATTTCCCTTCAGGACAGCACAGGTGGTGACATTAACAACATAACAAGTAAATAAGGTGAGATAATAATGATAATAACTGTAAAGTTAATAATGATGGGTACACTAAACATAACGATAGGTATAGTTCATTAAAAGCAGTTTGAAACATAAAGCTATACAATCATGAAGCAAAATAAAACTCAGTGAGAATAACCACTTACTGGGAGTAATGCAACTGGGCCTGTTGGTAGAAACCTTTGCCAAGCGATAGATTCATTATTAGCCTGATGATATGAATATAAAAAAACGATTAAAAATTTATCAATTAATTAGTCATAAACATAACTCAAATAGACGTATGAGATAAACAAACATAAAACATGAAGATCGTTATTGGGATTCGGTTAGGACGCCCAGGCAGTTATCCAGCCCTTATATTTGGTGCCCCCTTGTACTAATAATTATGTGTCTCAATAAATAAATCTTAGGATAACAATAATATTCATTTCATGTAATTGACTTTAGGGACACAGATGTGAAGAGGTGCCAACTGGATAAAGTCCATTTAATTAGTTTGAACCCATAACATGAAAATATAGTACCAAGATTATGCAGTCAAACATTTAGTTTTACGCAGAAAACGATATTACAACCATTGAAGTCTACATAATGCGTTTATTACTTGCCAAGAAATAACCATTAATTTAAAGTAAGTAATATAACTTTACTAAAACAAACATCTAACTTTGAATATTGGTAATAAAGACAATTGATAACCTATCAATACATATAGCGAAGTAAATACAACGAAAGCTTTTTTACTCATCGTAAATTTAACGCAGTCAACAATGAGAAAGTTTACTTAGAATTATTGTTGATTTTCTGATCATAGTACTCCATAGATTAAAAATCTGTAAGTTATATAATGGAATTCAACCGAACGAATATATGACTAGCCGAACACTTCTTAAGTAACATTCATCTTTAAGTGCGGTTAAATGCAATCCCGAAAAAAAACCTCTCATCATAATGATTTGCCATATTATCAAACTTATTATTATTATTTGAACACATGAATATTGGTACAAGAGAGCGCAAATATATATGCGCCACACAAAACAATGAAAATTCGAAGAGAAGTACAAAAAAAAACTAAGGAGCGCAAAAGAAAAAGAGAACAATAACGAAGAGATTGGTGTAAGGTAGTGTGGTAGTAACGAGGGAACGAAAAGGTACAATCAGAAAAAATCTTTCAGGTAAAGGAGACACAACCACTTTTTATGAAGAAAGTAAAAGAAGGTTACAGCAGGATCGCCACTGGCTTCCATTCTGAGCCATATCTGATAACGTCTCTAGCCACTGTGTAGCACCATCTCTCAGACCCCAACCAGGGATTCGTGAAGGACCAACAGAAGCCAGTCCTTTACAGCTTTCCTTCATACCACGACACCATGTCATGCACTGACCACCTCTCCGCTTCTTCCAACCAGTCCCAGAGTCGGCAAATAATGCACGACGTGGAATTCTCTGAGACGACATTCGTAGAACATGTCCAAGCCACCGAAGTCGGTGTTTCAAGATGGTGACACCAATTGAATTATCATCTCTGTGCCCGAACACACGATGCCGAGCCTCTGCATTACTGACATGGTGTTGCCACTGAATGTCAGCAATCCTTCGGAGACAGCGATGGTCGAACACAGAGAGTCGTCTAACGTCCTCAACTCGGAGAGACCAGGTTTCACAAGCATAGAGCAAAACTGCCCTCACCGACGCGTTGTAGATCCGACCTTTTACAGCCAGACTAACATCACGAAGGCGCCAAAGATGGCCGAGATTGGCATAAGCCGCTCTGGCTATCACTATACGTGCATTGATCTCATCACTCACGCAACTACCAGCACTTATGCAGCTACCTAGGTACACGAACTTCTCGACTACTTCTATCTGCTCACCATCCAGGATGAGTACAGGATTAGAATCCTGCCAGTCTTGTAGAAGTACTTTGCACTTCGAAGGTGCAAAGCACATACCATACCTACGGACATTGACTGCCAACTGATTAAGTGCGGATCGCATGCCTTGGGCATTATCGCACAGTAAGACAATATCGTCCGCATACTCAAGGTCGAGAAGTCTTTCTCCAGGCAACAGATCCACACCACCATCACTTACATCCATCACAGCTGTTTCCAGAATGTCATCGATGGCAAAGTTGAAGAGGAATGGTGAGATTGGGCAACCCTGCCTAACCCCACTACTCGAATGGAACAATGGAGAGAGGTGGCTGTATGCCCTCACTCTGCCTGAGGTGTTTTTATATAGGGCTTTTAGGATGTTAATAAACTTCTCAGGCACACCCTTCTTCAATAGACAATCCCAGAGAACAGTCCTGTCCAACGAATCGAAGGCAGCCCTGATGTCAAGAAACACTACGATTGTTGGCCTTTGATAAGTATGGCGATGTTCTAACATTTGGCGGAGGGTGAAGATATGATCAATACATCCTCGACCAGAACGAAACCCAGCCTGCTTCTCACGAGTCAATCTTTCTCGGGTTTTGAACAATCTACGAAGTATGATGGAAGCCAATAGCTTGGACGCAATCGGAAGTAGACTTATCCCCCGATAGTTGTTGCAGGAACGACGTGAACCTTTTTTAAAGATAGGGACAATTATCGACTCATTCCATGACGTTGGTACATTCTCTAGTTCCCAAACCTTTGTAAACAACGTCGTCAATCCCTTAGTCAAAAAGTCATCACCATCTTTAAAAAGAGCCGGAGGTAAGTCATCTGGGCCAGGTGATTTGTAACGCTTCAAGAGTTGGAGTTCCTTGCGAACTTCCTCCTCATTTGGTGGATCAGTCTCCACCGGCCATGGTGGGCAGGTCAGCCTGACCGATGTTGCCGGAGCAGCAGGCCAGTTGAACTGCCCTTCGTAAAATTCTGCCCACCGTCCAAGACGTCGATGGATGTTAGTGATTGGCATCCCATCATCCTCGCAGATTGTTTCACTCACACCAGACTTCTCGCTGCCAGTGGCTCGGATGAGTTGGAAGAGCTTCCGGTAGTTACCAGATGCAGCTGCTGCTTCCAGCTCATTAGCACGCTTCGACCACCAGGCTTCTCGGTCCTTACGCAAGCTTTGCCCAATTTCCTTACGTAACATCCTTCGTTTATGGTCAAACTCACGGTCACCCGGAGTAGACCGACGGGCTTCAATGAGTTGTAAGGAACCAGAAGAAACCCAGTGCTTAAAAGCGGGACGTTTCGTAAACCCACAACTGACTGTTCCCGCCATTTTCATAGCGTCATGCAATTGCAACCAATGCTCATCTATACTTTTCGGTGGAGTGGTAGCTAGCCTAGAGGCTAGCTCGGTTCGATACTTATTTGCAACAGAAGTTGCAACCAGCTTGCTAACATCAATCTTTTGCTGGCGGTCACTTTGTTGTCCACTGAAAAGTAAGGCAAGATTGGCGCAGACCAAGGCATGGTCAGAGTCCAGATAGGTACTCCAAAAGGAGCGGCAGTCTTTTACACAACCACGCCAGCGGTAGCTGATCGCGATGTGATCAATCTGAGTCCAGGCTTGAGATTCAGAGGGAGGACGCCAGGTGGCACATCGGCGATGACTGTGCCGAAAGTTAGTGCTAGCCAGAAACAGATTGTGGTCTGTGCACAGTTGCAGTAGACGGTCCCCGTTATCTGACCTGCGACCAACGAGTTCCCATCGGCCACCTAAACGACTTTCTTCTGTGTCTAGACGCCCGACCTGAGCATTCAAGTCTCCGGCTAGTACTACAATATCTGTCGAACGCACTTTCTGGAGAAGAACGGATAACTGGTGGTAAAACTCATCCTTGATTGCATCCGGGCTGCAATCTGTCGGGGCATAGGCGGAGATGACGAAAAGACACATCGTTTTTCTCACGCCGATTTCTTCTCACTTTGATGGAACTTTCTAATCTATCAGCACGTAACCGACTGTTAATGGGGATCCAATCGACTAGTGCTGCCTCAGCTCTAGCGCTTAGTGCGACACTAACGCCAGCAAGATCAGACGAAGATGCCACAGGGTCTCCGGATAAGCGCATGTAAAACAAGCTTTTTGAAGCGACAGATGGAGATCGAATTTGTAGTACTTCACCAGAGTCTTGAATACGGGTCTCGGATAGACAGCAGACATCGAAATTAAGACTTTCCAAAGACATAGCCAGTCCTATCTGTTGTCCGACCTGCATAAATGCGCGAACGTTGAAGGCAGCCAGTTTGAATGGTGCACGTGGTTTCAGAAAAACTGCTTCAGTAGTCGTATTCGGTGGTAACATACAATTTTCAACCGGACAGTGACTCGAGAACGTTTAGATACAGTCGAATTTCCACCAAAGACGAGCCGCTGTATAAGTATAAAAGAGGGTGAATAATGTGGGAAATAATAATAATAATAATAATAATAATAATAATAATAATAATAATAATAATAATAATAATAATAATGACAATAATAGTAATAATAATAATGATAGTATTAATAATGATAATAATTGTAATGATAATATTTTGAATCAATTGATTGTTTTTCGAAGCGAGAAAAATAATTTCCATAGACATAAAGAGTTCATCATTTGTGTGTGGGCTGTGATACTGCCCGGGTGCCCAAACCGAAGCAGGTGGTTATCTTAGGGGGCCACACCCCGAGCCTTTGACCTAAAGGTCTAACCCACAAGGCAGTGGAGCATCGTAAGGAGATGCAATCCCATGGTAGCCGGTGTCCAAAGATTGGTTCATACGCCATTTGTTCCCGCAGGATACTGGAGCCCATGTGCACCATTGGTTTGTGGTCCGGTTAAAGCGCCGGACATTCGCTTTTCGTCCTCTCATTTTCGTAAGCAACACCCCCGCCACGAGAAGGCAATGAGTAGGACTTCCCTGGCAGAGGCTGTATACGCGTGGCCGTGAGAGAGTATTTCGAGAGGGAGAGCGGACTCTCCCCACTCTCGGCCGTACCAGGGCATTCAGGGGGCAACTATGGCATTAACATTACGGTTACAGACACATTCTGATGACAGAATGTGATGAAAAAAAGAACAGAAAAAAGAGCCATAAGATAAAATGACTTCCTATTTAATAAGTTAATATGTCAAATTTATTTAATTTGAAGGAATCTGTAATTGAATATTTTTTTACTCTGTATAGTTGGCCTTACTGTATAACTAGTAAACAAATAATAAAGTTTATTAGTTTGCGTTTTCAATTTAAATGTAACCAGACCAATAATCATGTTGGTAGGCTACAAAGTAAAAACACCAGATGACAAAAAGGTACTAAATATGGAGGTGGTTGGGAGGAAACTAAGGATTTAGGTTTTGTAATAGTTGGCACTAGTCAGCAGGCGATTACTGTGATCTTGAGGAAACGGATGCTCTCTGTTGGATTTGAGCATGTGTCACTCAATCTGGAAACTTAATTCTAAGCCATACGGGCCGCGACTGCGTGAAATAAATTCGAATCTCACAAGATTAAAGGTGCCGTGTTATAAGCAAGTACCGACCGGCACAGAACCAAGGTTGGTGGTAACTTGACAACCACCCTACACATCAGCACAGTGCATGCGATGTTGAGTCACTTAGACTAGTGACGACGTTGTAACTTGGTTAACCGGATTCGATCAGCATTGAGAAACTGGACAAACATGGCACTGATCAATACTACTCAGTCGTCAGTCAATTATAGGTAGTAAATACATCGAAACTAATAAAGATAGGATATTACTGATTGAATATAAAAACTTGGGGATTAAGGAAATTTATTAAATCCGGAACCAATGAACTTATAACATCGCTTCATCATTAGATAAAATTATGAATTAATTATCAATAATGAATTATTACATTTAAGGTAGAATTTCTGGTTCCTTCATCCTTAAAGAACAAGTTATGATGAACCACTAGAAGATTTAAAAATCAAAGAAATGTATAAATCTACTTGAATGTAATGAGCATCAACACCAAGGCTTACTCAATATAACGATTGGATCTAATATATATATATATATATATATATATATATATATATATATATATATATATGTCAATATCAAATACGACAGTAGTATACACCATGGTCAGTCCGCTGTGTGGACGTCTCCCAGTGAACTTAAAGAAGCTCTGAAAGAGCCAAAGGCATTCGATCCTGTCATCGTTTGGAAGTTTAATAGACGATATTGACTTGTATCTTCCCGATTGGACAAATGCTAAAAACTACTGTCTGTGAATCGGATGATTGTAATGATGATTTCGTTTTTATTAAAACTATGAATACCCGAGTGCTTTGTATCATATTTGATACTGGTTTGAATAAGATTCCTTTCCACTCGTCTTCTGCCTTTTAACTTGAGACTTGGAGGGTTCAAGTGCTCAAGTTGCACGCGGTATAGAAAAAATCCAAGTTCTGGATATAACATCTAATATAAAAACAAACAAATTTCTGTGACATAACTGATTTCACGGTTTAATTCAATTTAAAATGGATTGGATTATCACACTGTTGATATTTGGTATCTCATACTCGTTGCATAGGTGAGTGGCTATCTGGATTCAGTAGCTAAGTGGATGGTGTTTGGAGCAAAGATTACTGGATTTGAGTCTAGGAATGAAAATCAACTCTGGAATGCAGGTGCATTCAGCTAACTAGTCCCAAATGGGACGAAATGAGCATTCTGGATCCCACTGCTAGCCACATTCCATCTATTCTATATTGATTTCACAACCATTTATTTATATATTTTTATTACCACATCATGTTAGAAATACTAAATACACTAAACCTCAATGTACAACTTCCCGGTTCAGTTGTATAAATTCATTTTATCCGTTTCACTAATCACAAAAATTTACCTGTTCCAATTTTAAAGTTGCTACAATAGCTTTTTGATTATGATTCCAACCAATTTTATGAATATTAGCTGTTCTACGGACAAATGAATTGAACCCATCAGCACCAATCTACAATCGAAAACAAATAAAACCAAATATTATTTATAAATTAATCAAAACAAAACACTGCATAAAATGTAGTGTAAAAGTAAATTGCAAACGTCACTCAGTTGTTTTAGTAAAAGCAACAATTTATCTATAATTAATAAATTCACTATTTGAAACATCAAATAATTGTTTCTTTTGATTGTTGTTACATTTACCATAAAACAACAATTATTTCCAAGTAATTACAATTTATAAAACAGATTACTTCAAGTAACAAAGCTGTAATAAAGATTGTTTGATATTTTAAAATTCTGTGAGTCAATGAAAAAGGGAAACGTATAAGAGTATCGACAAAGTTTATTTAAATACATAAGACATTTGGACTACAATGTATACATAAAGTTCAGGAAAAAGTATGTTAAAACAAATTAATAGTGACCGTTAGAACTTTGTTTAATTTAAGAGGTACTAGCAGATTAGAATAATTTAAGCGCATAAACCGAAATTGACAGTAAACTCTAGCACAGTATCGTGTTTGTAGATAAAATAAATGAAGATACAAACTATGAGGTAGGGAAAGGTGAACTTGAGAATATACTATGCATATTTCGCATGCTGTGACTAAAGCATTCAAATTGATTTACCAGGATACCCTGTCGTTCTTTTTAAAAATAAACTAGAAAAAGATCTTAAAAACTAGATGAGAAATTTAATGTGGTAAATATATAATCCTGTAAACAGGACAATACAATATCCACATGCATACACACAGAAAAAGTATATCATATTAGAAGATATGACCACAATATGAATTGATTTCAAAGTACTGGATAAAAGAACATCATTGTCATACTGAACTTCATGATAACAATATAGATTTCAACGATGTAAAGTGACATGAATAGAATATTAGAAGTTAAGTGAAAACATATGAAACTCTGAAACCGCCTACAAATCAATACTATAAATTACCATGAAAATTATTGACAAACGGTAGAACTAGTCGGATGATAAAATAAATTTTGTAAAGTGGACTTCAAACAGAACTTTTTATTTTAAATTCAGGTTCCTATAATAACGGAATGATTTCAAGATGTGGATTACTGCATGAAATTCAAATTACGAACAAAGGTTATGATTTATATTTTAGAAAGAGTTATGTTTATGAACAATGAATCTTCTATTTGGCAGATTAGTGCTCATAACAAAATGTTGAACTCATTAGAAATCAAACATATAATTTGCAAGTGTTTAAGTTTGTATGGGCAATTACGCTAGGGGCGGCCAGACCAAAACATGGCACAAGTCCATGAAGTTACTGACAAGTGGACTGAGTCATGTTGGTAGGTGTAGACTACCTGGTTGGGGACCGCGAGATGATAGCAACCGATGATTAGAGACCCTGAGTGACATGGCTCAAAATCGTTTGCAATGGCGCAGGTGCATGCAATCTTTGTGTTCTCCCAAATTCTAATCTCCTGATTCCTCCTTGTCTCTTTTTTTCTCTTCCCAAATTTATTTCACTGTATTATACTCTTTAAATAACATCTCCAAACATTAATTTTCCTGATTACTGCTTATACTCTTACCGTCTCTACCACTACGGGATTTGAATCGACCACTACAGCTGTGTGCTAATGTGGTGTAGCAACTCGAACTGATGTACGTACGTACGAAGTTCTACGTTGTTACTGACTGACTGACTGATGGGAAATTACGTAACCATTTCCTGAACCATTCTACTGAAGGGATTTGATATTAAACTGAAGAAGTATGAACACTTTTAAATGTGAATTTCTTGTGTCAATAGAAGTTGCATTTATTAAGGTCAACTACCAAAAACACTTAATATAAGAGAAAACATGAATTTATTTTACAATTAAATTTCAGAAATAATACCGATTTCTGGATTTGAACAAAACAATCTTCATCGACTGAGATGGTTGGGCCACATGTTGCGTATGCCTGAACACCGATTACTACGACGCGCAATGCTGACTAGTGTAAGAGGCGGTTGGAAGAAAGTTACGGAGCGCCAAACTAAAAATGTGGCATCCGTGTTTGAGGACACTAACTCCTAGTCTGTGCCATGTTGGTAGATGCAGACTACTTAGTTGGGGTTCGCGTGACTATCGTAACCAGTGGTTGGAGACTCTAGGTGATATTTCTCAGAATCGATCATAATAGCGTTGGTGTATACACTCTCTATCTTCCCTTAAACTGTGAGATTAAAATCGCTTCATACCTTCCTTTCTACGAACTGATTCTTTCTTCCTGTGCTATGTCCTCATATGCAATCTTTCTTTTATATATTACCACCACTGAATTAACTACTTCTATGAATTCGGTGTTGATCTTGTTGTGCTAGTGAGGTATGGCAACTTGGACCGATGCACATATGTGTCTGGGCCTACGTTGTAGCTGACTGACTGATTTAATTAAATAAATGATTACTTTTAGGATTCACTGATATCTATTTTAGACATGCATAATACAATAATGTTGATACCAGGTACGAATCCACATTGGTTAAAAGTGACGCATCAACTTATGCATAAGTCGAGTATTATTTTCTTGTTTAATAATATTATTCAAAAAAACCTTCAGATTTTACTTGAGTAGTCATCCAAGTATATAGTTATACTTTGAGCAGATTATAGGAGCATCCGTTGGCTGGTCAACAAGTTGTCTTTTGGATGTCATATGGCTATTTGGCGTTCCTTACACTACACCGAACATCTGGATGGAGAGACTTCTAAAAAATATTCAAATTACTATCATACTGAGCATCAGTCCGCTGTAGCAAATTATATCTGGTAGACTTGGTCATTAAAAGCAGATGTATTTATTATACGAATTTGGTAACAAGTTTTCAAAGTACTCGCATGGAGTGAAACCAATAAGTGACCGACACCAAGGTTAGGTTCAGATAATCTAGGGAATGAAAATAAGTTGTGAATCCGCACCTACTGAAGTATCTTGGTAACGAGATACAAGTACCAAATCACCATCTGAACTAACAATCAATACTAGTTAATACAGAATCACGCTGGAAAAGATTTTGAAGTATTCTTGTTGTTTATCTTCAAATGGTTAGATTTTTATAGTTAATAGGCACATTAGGAATATTTATTCTTGTTCCATAAGTATAATTAGGAATTAAAAGAGATTTATTTAGAGTACTAAATTTGATATTAATTTCATACACAAATAATACTGTTCCTCTAAAAAATCAATGAATAATCAACATACAAGTAGATCTGTTTCAACAGTTTCCTGTTTAGCTTGTGTCCTTTGTTGAACGTCTACACGAACTAAATGTTCTGGATGATCTGAAGAAGGCAGCTGAATGTTTTCAGCTTGTGTTTCATATAGTATTGTCACATTTGAAGAATTATTATTAGATCCCAAATAATTACAAAGTGATTCAATAACTAAATCATTTTCTACTATATATGCCAAGGGATTGCGTTGAAACGTTAAGTAAAGGTTTGACTTTGTTTCCCATACCTAAACGTATGTACAAAATGAATACAGTAAAATAAGTATACGCTAATCAATCATCTAAAACGAGACAAACTTAATAATAAGAGCTGATAGATTATGTAAATTATGTGAATTTCGGTCTTTTATAATGACAAACAATAAAGCTCATGATGGAAATTGATGAAGTCACATAGATTCCGTATGTTAAGTCAAAACTGTTCAAATTAGTCTAATAATATAAAGACATGATAAGAACAGAGTCTAATCATCTTTCTAAAAAACGGGGCTGATGAAATTTGGTCGTTTAGAAGATAAGGCCCAACAGTTTGAAATATTAAGTGTTTATTTCAAGTTTGTGTTTGGTAATTGGTGGTGCAGACGCAGGATGAGCACTGCTAACAGAAGACAACATCAAATAATAAGGCCACTGAATGTCCACCTAATCCATGTAGATGCGTAGGGTACCTAGTTAAGGTCTGTAAAATAACTCCGATAGATTGTAAGAGACTTTAGGGAGCATATCTCATATTTGGTATCACTGGAGTAGAGGGATTTCTCTTTGGATCTTCATGCAAAACTTGAATAAAGGATTATCCTATAATTTGCATATCACTGATACTAGTAGCTCTTACAGATAGCATTCCTTATGTTTAGGTTTCTAGAGCTCTTGGAAGTCAGCCATGATTTACCTAACTTTACCGAATTATCATACTTTAATAAAACTTTTGTACATTTTGTTAACTCATTTGCGAGATACATACTCGATTATTTAGCCTTGAGTCACACAATAATCGTTAGGACTAGTTGCCCAAACCCAAGCAGGTGGAGAGGCGTCTGAATCTACGTCTTGGTAGCTAACAGTCGAAAGCCCTAAGCACCAAGTCACACAATCACTTTTAATTGGACTGAAAGTATATGATCTCGAATCGATCAAATTCAGATTACCTAGTAGATCCAGACGAGATGAACATTTAGATAACATTCATGAGTTTTATAGACCACTCTGTGGTAGACACATCGGATGACATTTAAATAGTCATCTGTTTCTTAATATTCAAATGAATTTTAAAAAGGATGTTGGAGATGCTATAGGAGAAGAAAGCAATAGACAGAGGGAATCTATATTTATTGTGAGAAGCTATAAAGAATTTAAATAATACGTATACATGACCTTCGATCATCCATTTTTATCTTTCAGTGAGTTCCGCAATTTGAATTGTTTCCTCGTCTGGTCTGCCTAAGCCGTGCTTTAGCTGTACTGAAAATCTCCCCATCTGACGACTGTTTCAACGTCAAAACCAAGTTCCGCTACATACAACTCACAAACAATTTTATGAGTAGAATCCACCACACTGTAACTACATATACCACGTGTGAAAAAGAAAATTTTGCTAATTTATTTAAAGTGATCCTCATTTAGACTTAAACACTCGAATGTTAAGTAAATCCATGAACCTACTTTTTAAAGCTCACAGTGTTGACCAGACGTTGGGCTTCAAATTCGTCTTTTTTGTGTGAAAAAACTGTGTATGTGACTGGTAAGGAAGATTCTGAATTTAGAATTTGATTCTTTTCATCACCACGAATATTTAGGAAGGTATTATTACTTAGTCACGGAGAGAATGATTTGAAGTGTATATTTTGTCGCTTATAAACCTCACTTAAACTGATAAAATAAAACCGTTCAAGAGCCGAAACATATTATGGTAGAAAACTGTGATATTTCACATACTTTCATTTTATTTACAGGCTGAGAACGGAATGACTGAATAAATTCCCAAACACCAATATCTAAAAGGAGTACGATTACACGAATCCTGAAGCTTGTATAGAAAATGTACTTTTCAGCATGTTTACGGAAAGGCCGTTAAGAGCAACAACACGATTTTCATATTCTTCTCTACGTTGATACTTTTTTTACCAGAACTTTCCAGCAATAAAATGCTTTTCTTACCGAGAAATTTGGAAGCCGCTATAATAAACAAATAAGATAAATAACGAAATGCCTTGATTTACCCGCAACGGCAGCCAAACCAAATCCAACCATCCCACCACCGACAATTATTATATCGTACTTCGGAAGCAGTTTCTTGACACTGTAACCACGGAAACTCGTAGTTAGGAGTTTATGATAGTTGAGTAACGTCATTGGTTGAATAACTGGATAAGTAAAACATGATAAAAAATAATTAGTTATGACAAAAGTCAGTGAACTGAGATAACAGGAAAACAACAAGTCAGACAAAAGTCAAAAATTCCCTCTTTCTTGAATAATTTTGGTTATTAGAAATAGAAATTGAGCAAATGGAGTGTGGTAAATTGATAGAGAAGAGTTCTGTATGAATGTATTCATTACCTTTTAAATTCCCAAACTGCTATATGAATTAATAATAAGATCAGTGGACGAAAAATATTTTGGGCAGTTTACATCTGACTGATGATTAACAAGTGATCAATGTCAGAGAAAAATCAGTTTAGGCTGATTAATAACTTTTCCCGTCATAACTTAAATACTCGGGCTCTACGGTTAAATTCCATCATACTAATACTAACAGATAATGGCAAGTCATTTATTTAGTTCACATTCAATTTTCAGAACTTTGTTAGGATCTATAAATACCAACCAGAGAAAAGTAACCGTTATTGTACGAAATAAAAAGCCGATGAATGAAGAATGATTTTTTTAGTATTCATGACCGTAAAAAAGCAATTCAAGGATGTTCCCGTACCTAGACAAATTCGTTCTACCGTGATTTCAACAACAAAGTATAAAGTCAGTTAATAGAGCTAGTGACTGTGAGTCTGACGCGCGTAGAGGGGTATAAGGCTTTGATGTCCTGTGGGTTCATTGGAGCTGGTCGATTCGAGAGTTCCTCAAAGTATTCTACCCATCTGTCCCTTTGTTCTGGAATCTCCGTACTTGTTTTTCCTCCTTTGTCCTTGACCGGTCTCTGGCTTACTACACTTCCCTGCCATTTTCTTAGTTGTGTCATGTACTTGCTTTATATTTCCTTCTCTTGCAGCTTTTCCCGCTGCCATTGCACAGATTTCCGTTTGTCAACTCTAACACTATTCTTCGCTAGCTTGTTTGCTTTTGTGTACTCAGCTTGTGTCTTGAATTTCTCTGTTTTTGTCTGACTTGTTAATCGCTGTCTCCTTGTTCTTCCTTTCTACAATCTTTCCCAGGATTTCGATGGAGGTCCATTTCTAATGGTGCTGCATCGTGACCCAGAACCTCCTGACACGTTGAAGTTAGCGCTTCTCTGATCCCTTTCCAGTAATTCTTAACTCTAAAACCTAATTCTTAATTTACAACCCAGACTCCTAATCTTAAACCTCTTCAGCTTACTGTAAGAATACATAAAAGAAAAGTTTCGTTATTCATCCCTTGTAATTATATTTTTTTAAGATAGTAAATTAACTCATATCAATAAACTATTCCGATCAGCTGATATGTCACTCAAGGGCATATAAAATTCCTTAGGTCATTCATATGGTTTACTTCTATCAGCTTATTCTGGCTATGGTGATTTGAAAGGTGAGATCCCAAAACTATTAAGACTAAAAGACCTACTTTGTTCATGCTTAGCTTTCATAAAACAATGAATGATCTAAATAATCTACCAGATAAGTGGGAATATAGTGAACTCAAAATTTAATCTATTTCAGGATAAGTTAGGTGAGAATACTGTGGCACATAAAATGATGATACGAAGACTTTTTGTAATCAGATTTTAAGTCATGAGGCCTAAAAACTCCACCACACAATTGTGTAAAATTGACATGACTTTTAATTTGTTTTGCTTGATTTTCAAGTATTTTGATATAAGTGAGTGTTATTTGACTAAATACACCGTACGATATACTAACCGCCAGCATTTAACAAAGACAGTGTTATAAGCGAAAAAGGCGTGGCTATCTAGGGAACATGACTACTTTACACTCGCGGTCAAATAATTTAACCAGTTTCAATCTACCGTCGAAAGTGAAGTATTGCTTTGTTTTCAGGTGTCTGATGATAATCTTAAATAAATAAATGACACAGTCAACAATCTTGAGTAAAAAACGAGTATGTCGAACCAAATATTCAAAATATGGGGCCAGATGTTGCCTGTTTTTCTGGACCCTACTTTGACTACTCGGAATTTTACATAACGTTCAGGGCTGTGTATGTGCTAGGAAGATAAGATAGATACACTATTCCATACTTCAAAGATTTTCGAATGGAAACAAAGCATACTTGATGGACGGACAATTTACATTAAAGTAATCACAAATAGTGCAGAAAATGTGTTTAACAAGAAACATAACGTAACAGCTTCGCGTAGTGTACTGTGATGAAATTTAAAGTATTGCACCATGAGTGATTAAGAATATTGAATTATTCATTAAGTTGTTGATTTGCTTAGGAGGGGCGTTTGGATTCAAACTTCGTTTGTTCAAGTATAATTTCTGATCACGTGTCAGACTCTTATTATGACAAACCTGTACTGTTGGTTTATCGACGACTGGGTAAAGGGATACGTACGAGTAGAGGTTATCAAATTACTCTCGAAGTTAGAAACGCAAAACGTAAAACAAACCAACGATAAATACTGCATATGAGAATCGAGTTTCATTAAATCAACGGGAATCATCCTTCATTATTTGTAATGAACAGTCATTCGATATTAACCCAACCTCCCGATTTTGTGATTTCCAAAAGGCCAATGACAATAGGCAGTTCCCCCACACGTGTGGGGAAATCCACAAAATCCTGCAGAAGTATTGGGGGTTTCCCCAAAACTTTCAGGAATTTCCCAAAATAGGGAGATATTTCCCCATTATGAAACACCTACTTATTGCGAAGTCAAAGTACCATTAAATAGGATTAAACTTTGTCGGAAAGAGTCTACATGTATGTGCAAACTTCCATGTGTTTGTGCAGAAAATTTCATACTGAAATAAACAAATATAATTGAATAAAGCCATTAATAAAGTCAAAGATCTATAAGTTGTCATTATTTAGGATAATAACAAACGCCTAGCGAAGTATAAAAAAAATTTCTTCAAATTGAGTTACTTGGAAATATAATATTCTACATGTCTACAACTAGAATAATGTAGCTGAATACTGAAAATGATTTAACCTTCAAACATCGATTCAATCCAAGCATTCCGCCGCTAAAGGTGTGAAGGGGTAAATGAGTCTGGTTAGAATAGAAGCTTTCGTTTGACGGGCTGTCGGATCTATTAGCAGTGAGTCACACATGCCTCTATGTAGTAATCTAGGTATATTAACGATAAAATAGGAAAAGGAAAAAACTTGGTATATCATAGTAAGATACTGTGGTGGACCAAACAATGTAAAAATGCAAAAGTATCAACAAAGTTAATAACAATCAATAGTAATATTAATATTTACAAGTTAAATGTTACAAATACAATAACAAATTAGGGACGTTACTTAAATCGGCTAGTCGTTGCGTGTTCTGTTGAGTTTTTGGTCTCAAAAATCCACAATTATAAATGCGTAATAATTCCACAGAGGTAAATATGACGCCAATAAGTTTCTTTGACGTAGGATATAATGGGAATGACACTGCAGTCTGAAATGAGGATAATATCCAGTTTAGAGCGCAATTGACTTGGTAACGAGCGACAATAGAACAATGGGTATGTGCGTAATAGTGTATTTGTGAACAACCGAAAATGTGTGTCACGCTATGTTCGAATTACAACGGAAAAAGTCCTCAAGGTCATTGACTAAAACAACACGTACAGTCATTTAATGATAAATGTACATACAGTGAAAAACTGACAAAACAAATAGAAATAACATTGAAAACTATTTACAAAATAAGCTTGTCAGTCATATCTCCACATAGCTCCCCCCAGAGTGTCCGGAGGTAACACTGGTTACAATAACAAATAATAAAAATTTTATACAAAAAAAAATAATATTTGCAATAATAACCAATAAACAATGTGGAGATGTGTATGACATGTACGTTAATAATATACAGTGTGTTATCGTGTGAAAATAGTGGTGATATGGCATAGCATGACAAACGAAAGTAATGAGAATACCGTCATTTAAAAGCTTGGTTTGCTAACAATGATACTAATGTACAGAACTGTTACTGAACCCAAAAAAAAATGAACTGTATTTTTTTGTGTGTGTGTACCACAAATGTATAATTAAATAGAGTTTACTCGTTTATTATTGTAACAAATTTTTTTTATAAAAAAAGGTAACAAAACGAATAATTGTGGGGAAAAAAAATATGGTTAATTATGTACACTGTAAAAAGAAAAAAAAATCATGGGTTTTGTTGGGAACAATCGGGTGAGTATAATCGTATAGTACATCAGTAATTGTTTGTTTAGATTTTTTTTTATACGGCGAAATGTACATACCGTTTGGGTTTTTTTACAGCTCTGCCTGAGCGCGTTAAACAAGTAGGTTTGATACTCAGTTTTTCTTCCATGTCTGCTGTAGTGGTGGTTGCTGGACGGGGTTGGTTCAGTGAAATAGTATGTTCTTTGTCAAGTTGTGCTTCGTAGAAAGCAGGCTTTATTCTATCGATAGCGATAGTCTCTTTCTTTCCACACTTGTTGATTATGAAGTGTTTGGTCGTTCTTTTAATTACTTGATATGGTCCTTCATAAGGTTGTTTCAATGGCTTTTTAACAGCATCAACTCGCACAAAGACAAACTTGCATGTTTCTAGATTTCTGTTGAGTTGTATTCGATTGTTATGTTCACGAGGCGATATGGCTTTGATTCGTTGCATGGTTTGCAGCAGTTGGCTAGCAAAACGACTTGGGTCCGTTGGTGTTAAAGTGTTTGGGTCCACTAGTTGACCTGGTAATGTAAGGGTTGTACCGTAAACTAGCTCAGCGGCTGTACAACCTATATCTTCCTTTATAGTTGAACGGATACCCAGGAGTACAAGTGGTAATGCGTCACTCCATTTTGTCGTATCATCTTGTGCCATCAGCGAGCTTTTCAATTGGCGGTGAAATCTTTCGACCAAGCCGTTAGCTGCTGGGTGGTAGGCTGTTGTTTTAATGTGGTTCACGCCCAGAAGTCTTGTGAATTCCTGAAATAAGATAGACTGAAACTGGGGACCACGGTTGGTAGTGACGATAGAAGGTACTCCGTAATTTGCTATCCAACGGTCAAGGAATACGCTGGCTACAGTTTCTGCAGAAGTATCAGCAATAGGGCATGCTATGGCCCATCTTGTGAACCTGTCCACCGCAGTGAGAATATGAGTGAATGAATTAGATGGTGGCAATGGACCAACTATGTCTAAGTGGATATGCTGAAAACGTTTTTCCGGCAGGGGATACTTGCCAACTGGACTGATCGTGTGCTTCTGAATCTTGCTGCGTTGACATTGTAGGCAGCTTCGCGTCCATCGTTTTATATCTGAATTGATTTTTGGCCACACAAAACGCTCAGTAATCAATTTGATTGTGGCTCTGATTCCTGGGTGAGAAAGGTCATGCAGTTGACGAAATACCTGTCGACGACATGCTAGAGGTACGAAAGGGCGATTGTTACCCGTTGAAACATCGCAAATGATAGATGTATTTGAGAAAGGGATGGGTACTGGTTTAAGGTTCAAGTTAGACTTCTCCTGGCAGACCTTCAAATCTGCATCGTCTACTTGTAGTTTTGCGATGGTTTCTAGATCGATGTCTTGTTTACGTAACAGGGTATTTACGTCCTTACGTGACAATGCGTCAGCTACGACGTTGGTGTGTCCTTTGACAAACTGGATATCTGTCGTAAACTGGGAGATGTAATCCAGTTGTCGTGCTTCGCGAGGTGAATGTCGGTCGTACGATGTATGGAATGAGTAACATAAAGGTTTGTGATCGGTCATGATGGTAAAAGTTCGTCCTTGTAGTAAAAAGTTAAAGTGTTTAACGGCTAAGTAGATAGCAAGTAACTCCCGTCCAAAGGTACTATAGCGTTCCTGGGCTGGTGACAATCTTTTGGAGAAAAACGCTATGGGAGTAGTCATATTGTTTACCTGTTGTTGTAATACTGCCCCGACGGCTTTTTGAGATGCATCCGTACACAGAATTAAGTGGGTTGTGGGGTCAGTATTTATATATTGTAGCATGGTGGCATTAGCTATCATCGACTTTGCTTTTTCAAACGCTGTTTTGGCATCAAAAGATAGGTTGAATGTCTGACTCTTCTCTTTCTTCGTACCTTTTTTGTCGGTTTTCAACAGATCGGTTAATGGCTGTAATACTTCAGCACAATGTGGTAAGAAGCGGCGATAAAAATTACACATACCGAGGAAACGTCGTAATGACTTCACCGAGGTTGGTTCGGGATAATTGGTAATAGTTTCAACCTTTTCTGGGAGTGGTTTGATGCCTTGAGAGTCAATGTAATGTCCTAAAAACTCTAAGGCTGGGACTGCAAATATGCATTTCGAAGGATTGATGACGACGCCGTGTTTTTTAAAACGGTCAAAAAGGGTCTGGACATGTTGGATATGCTCTTCTAAAGATGAGCTTGCAATGAGAACATCGTCGATGTAGGCAAATACGAAATCAAGGCCTCTTGTTACGTTATCCATGAAGCGTTGGAATGTCTGCGCAGCGTTTTTTAATCCGAATGGCATCCTTAGAAACTCAAACAAACCAAAAGGTGTTATTATGGCTGTTTTCTCAATGTCTTCCGGTGCCATTGGAATTTGATGGTATGCACGCACGAGGTCTAGTTTCGAGAAGATGCATTTACCATGTAAATTTAACGCGAAGTCATGTATATGTGGAATAGGATACCTATCCGGGATGGTTTGGTTGTTTAATCGTCGGTAGTCACCACACGGACGCCAATCTTGGTCCTTCTTAGGTACCATGTGTAACGGCGAGGCCCAGGGGCTGTTAGATGGTCTGATAATACCAAGTTGCATCATATGTTCGAATTCTCTTTTCGCTACTTGCAACTTGCTTGGTGGTAATCTCCTCGCCCTGGCGCTAATAGGTGGTCCGGTGGTAGTGATATGGTGTTGTACCAGCTGTGGGTTACCTTCCTTTTGGTAATCTGGTTTCGTAATGCATTGGTATTCTGTTAGAATGTCGTTGAAGATATTGTTCACAGGTTTCATTATTCGAACACCATGGATCTCGTTGTCGTTGGAGAGTGTACAATTTACCTGTAAACGTGTGTTTATGTCGACTAATCTCTTGTTAGTCATATCAACTAAAAGGTTGTACGCACTAAGAAAATCGGCTCCGAGAATGGGTCGTTTGACTTCAGCAACTATGAATACCCATGTGAATCGTCTACGGAGTCCGAGATCTAATATAAGAGATTGTTCTCCATAAGTTTTGATAACTGATTCGTTAGCCGCTACCAAGGACAATTTAGTGCTTATCGCATGTTGTCTGCGTGAGAGATAAAGTGGGATGATGCTGATTTCTGCTCCCGTATCGACTAAAAAATCTGAGCCAGAAATACGATCCCTGATGTGGAAAAGGCGGCTGACATGTTGGCCAGTAACAGCTGCCGCTATTACTGTCTGGCCACTTCGTTTCCCTGATGGTCTGACTTGCTTGTAGTGAAGTTGCACGGTTTCGTGCAACGACGTGCTTTCTCGCCATAATTCGAATGATACCAACATATCCCAGCTGCCCGCTTAGGTGACCTATGACGATGTCTGGATAATGATCTCCTTCTGGACCTAGATCTGGGGCGTCGAGAACGGATGGTGGAGATAGTCGCCTGCAGTGATGCTAGCTGACGTGTTAAGTGTGCCATTTGTTGCTGCATGTCAAGAGTAGGGTTCATAGCGTCTCTACTGGCGGGTTGTACTGCGTTAATTCCCCGACTATCGGGATATATTTCTATCATCTTATCGGCCATGTCTGCTAAATCATCAAGACTGACAGAGGCTCCTGATACGCTGAGAATTTGTCTGACGCTATAAGGTAACCTTTGTGACCACATCTGCTTAAGTAATGCTTCGTCTAACTTGCATGAACCTGCTAGTTGTCTCATATGTCTAAGCAACTGTGAAGGTCTTTTATCCCCTAACTCGCATGCGGTGAGTAGTTGCTGTAAGCGTTTTTCATCAGACTGCGAAGTACGGTGGATTACTGCGGCTTTTATTTTGTCATAGGGG